AAGATGGCTTTTAAGGATGAACTGAATTATTATCCTAACCTCTTACAGAGAGACAACTCCCAACCAGAAGTCACATGTCATGAATGGATAGATACAGTTATCAAATATTTCATAGCAAAAGCAGCTTATGAGACCTTGAGATATAGGCAGGCTTTTCTGAATAATCTATCCTTAGTCTAGAAGAGTGAAGCACTTAAATCACATTTAATTTTTAGGAAGTATTTAGCACAGTACCTTAGTGCTTTCGTCTCTCTAGTGTGTGGAATACCATTGAACTAGCATCCAAATACTTCACTAAATTAGAGAAATGCTTAAAACTATGTGGGTTAAAAGCATTAAGCATCCCATCCTCTACTTGCTTTTCTTCTGACACCTACAACATAAGCAAAACAGACACTTGTCATGTTAAAAATACTACTCCCAAGCATCCTGGAATGAGATTTGCCTCTCCTGCTCCTGGAAAACAGATTGCTCCTCTGTACAACACAGAGCTCACCAAGGCAGCTGTGTTGGTAAGATCCACAGCCTTGTTTCCACCTGGCTGCTCTTTCTAACTCCCATTCACCTTGCTCCAGTTTCACCAATTTCCACTTGGATGTTCACCTCTACCTAGCAAAGAGCACCTGCCTGGGTGTTCAGTCTCAGTGACATTCTAGTTTTGGGTGTTCAGACAGTTATGGCCTTAACTTAGCTCATTTGAGGATGAATGTAAAGGAGCTCCCCTCATTTTCATCTTTTCTGGATAACATGTTAGCATCAAGCAAGTTTTTTCTCAGTTTCCAAGAGAATTTTTACTGACTTTATGACAGACTGGCAATTAAAATATCATTGCTTCCACCATCAGGAAACTATATCATGTCACCCAAGCCATGGCCTCTCCAGCATGTTACAGTCTTTTGGAAGAGCTGCTGATCAGCGGTTGATGGAAAGATTAAGACATGGCTTGGGTTCACTGTTAACTTTCTGTGCAGACATTGGACTGGGAGAAACAAGGTTTACAAATGGCCTACTTGCCACTGGTCTAACATCAGAGCTGCAAAAGAATGAATGACAGGAAAAAGAGAATACAAATAAAGTTGCTTTCCCCTCCCACAGTGCTCACTGTTCTCAGCATGTTTGTCCTGCAATGCATGACTGTTCAAAAGTACCCAGAGCATCTGAGTGAAGACATCAAACAGAACTTCTCTGTACTCTGAACTGAATACAAACTGCAAAGAAAATTGCTCCATTAGGTAGCTGACAAAGGTGTCACTGGGTCTGTAGTCAGCTCAGACTGAAAAATATAAATACACTCTTTCAATAGCAGGTGCAAATCCCTATTGACTCAGAAGCAGCAGGAAAACAAGTGAAGGGAGACTGCCAAAAATAATGAAAAGTCCCAAGAGACACAAATTCCAGTCTCCTAACAGGCATGCATACCCAGAGTTTATCGTTGACATAAAATACTAGAAAAACATCTTAAAATTTGCATCTCAATTTCCCTAGGAGCTTTCAACTATCAAAATACAGAGTTCAGCCCAAGTGCAAGCCATACATGATGATGGGAAATATGGTATTCCCTTGGGCCTGTACTGTTCTACTGCTTACATATGCCCAAAGTATCATTCACAGCAAATGAAATGAACTATATTATCAGGATGAGCATTAAAACAACTAAACAGGGTGTTTCTCACTCAGAGAAAATCTCCTGTATGGTAATTTCAATAAAAAGTTATTTCAATTTAGAACACACACAAGAGCTTCTCTATTAACAAAGCACAAGCACTTGTCAGGACAATATTGATTAAAATTTTTTCCATTTACCCTAAGCACTGAACAAATGATGTGCCTAATATGTGCAAAAAGCAAATTGGAGGGCAAGAAAGAGTAGCTGTTTCCAGGTGGAACTATTATTAGTGGGAACCTTTCATTGTGCAATTGTTTTAATACCCTATATTAGGATCCAGAAGCAGCGTGACAACTGACCTCTTTTTTTCTGCATCACATCATAAAATAATAAATAAATAAACAGTTTATAGCACCTCTTTCTGTGGACTTCTCAAGGCTGAACTGAGTCTCATGGTAGCATGTGGTGGGCTTTTAGCAGAGTGTAGTTAATAACAGGACATAAACTAAATTAAACATAATTCAATCAGTTGCATGGAAAAATGGGGTTTTAGGAGCACTGGTTACCTTGAAATCACGGAACCACCACAATACGGCTCAAAAGTCTGGACTGTCTTACTGCTCAAAATGGGCCAACACTGAGCAGGTTACAGCAACATACAACACTTCTGAGTATCTTCTTTTAATTCATTTTAGTAGAAGAAGTATATAAAATTTGGGTGGGGGCTAGAGGTGGCAAGTGAGTCCGAAAGCCATCTACATTATATCAAATAATTACAGCTGGGAACAGAAAATTTTCCACTGGGTGTAATTCAGAGGTACTATTGTATCAAGATGACAAAAAAATTCATACCTAGAGAAAATGAAATTAAAATTTTAAGCAAAACAATAAATTCTGGTATTAGTTCTCAGATGTATCTTGTGATACTCTGATATTAGCCCCTGAACTAAATGTCCTGTACTTCACTGTGAAGCCTGTGAAGTTGGGCAGGTGCTCATAGAACATGCACAGAAAAACCCATAAAGCCATTTCTGAGGACAGCCACATTTGTACCACTCACAGAGGGTCCCAAAAGCCTCAGTCAGAACCTGAAGACAGAATACAACCATCAGGTTTTTAAACCAATTTTCATTAGCTTGTTTATATTTAACCTCAGTATCTGAGAGGAGTATAATCATGATCATATCCTTCACAAAAACTCCAGGGAAACCTAGTTATGATTCTCAATTAAAGAAGTAGAACAAAACTGCATGAATGAATGAAGTGCAGACAAAAAAGTATTATCAAGGTTTCCAGAAAGAATTACGGTTGTCTAATCCATTATCCATTTTTTTGATGGCTTAGATCTGTACCCCTGGCAATTAGCTTTCAGGAATACTGCAATGTTCCTTGCAACCTTGGGCTATTCACACGTGGGTTTGGCTACTATATGTCTGGCTGGAGCTGGGGTGGGTGAAGAAGTTACACATGTTAACAGTAATAAGTGCCTGAAAAATCTCAGAAATATCATAGATTTGGGTTTAATTAGAATCCAGCAAGGAACTAATGAAGCAAAAAAAATATCCAGCTACCATCAAGATTATGTTTTGGAATCTTCTTTCCTCATTATTCTTCATTTAAATCTCTAATGTGATATTCAAGACCTCATTCCTATCCTCCATGGGTTACAAATTATCTTAAAAAGGGATGGGTTTTTGTTAATTGTCTGCACAGGGATATTCAGACCAAATAAATCAGTATTATGTAAGATGCCATTAAAAGGGCACTAATACAAATGCTCTTATTTTTCTTGGACCTTAAGGTAGTAAGCAAAATTGTATTCTGCAAAAGCAAAATTGTTTACTCCTAATTAGTTCAAGTAAAAGCACAAATCTAGTTTTTACCTTAGAGTATAGCTATGTGGAGGACTTGCCACGCTGATGGCTATGGTTCAAGTGAGACTATGAAGGGCAAAATTTATTCCTGACTATGGACAATATTACAGGCTTTTAGAAGCTTGTCAACAAAACAACTAAATCTGAACAGAATTTCATCTAAAGTCAGCTCATTAATCTCCTGTGCATTTTCTTCTTGAACTAGAAGTAAACCTAATTTTCAGGAGCATCTTATAAATTGTGTAAGCAAAACCAAAGGCCAGAGATGTAAGAGCCTGGGAAAGCAGGACACTTCTCACTCTCAGGCTTTTCTGCCATCAGCTGTCGCAGTAAGAACGCACTGCAGCTACTGCCAGTGGGTCTGTTGTCACTGGAGCAGGAAATCTGCTGGTTTTAGGACATTTAACAGCCCTCCTCTATTATCTGTGACCTAAATATGATTATTTCCTTACAGCAAACATTGAACACTTTGATCTATTAAATCTTTAAAACCCATCAAACCAAAACCCAAAGCTCATTTAAAATTAAGAAGCAACCTGCTTTTTGGAAATATATATACACATATTCATGTGCATGCACACAGATCACACCTCTGATATCTACTCAGAAGTTAAAGCAATTCCCACAAGAAATTCCTATCAATCTGTTCGCAGAGATTATACCAACACATTGCAGTTTTATATGGGAGTAAAATTTATAGTTTCTTTCATAACAACAAATACATTATATTTCTAATAATCTACTCTGGCAAGTAAGACTTCTTCCGAGAAAGTGGAAGGAACTTTGGAATAAGTTATGGTGAATATCTCACTCCATGGAAAATTGAAAATACTTGTTTCTATATTCTTCTCAAAGTGTCATATTTACAAAAGTGCATTGCACTCATATCCTTAGACAAGTAGGCAATGTGGTTATCAAAAAACTTTCATTTTCCTCAGATCAGCTGTTAATCTTATTTCTTCTTCCCATTTTGTAACCTGGTGAAGTTACAGCATTTTCATTCTGCAACTCATCTCTGCCATAAGGCAGGGACCCAATAATATTGGTCCCAAACTGCTTGATGACCTGAGTTCAGTTCTGCCAGATCAGCAGATCTGAAGGCATCTTTGTCAATCAAACAGAGGAAGCAAAACTGGCTGTGGGTGGATTTGAGAAAATCAGTATATATTAGCATAATCCAGAAATGTCACATCTGAGCTGGCAGGCAGCTAAATTAGACACAGAATGACAAATAAAAAGGAATCAAACATACATCCAAAATTAAAGGTGACTTCAGGGGGAAAAAAAATAGTTTTTTAAGATAAAAGAATTAAAAATATTTCTCATACATCCCACAGTAGCTGAACAAACTAGCTGGGTGAAAAGTAAGAAGAATTAAGTAAATAATATCTGAGAAAAGAAAACTAGGCTCATACACTTATTAAAAGCAGTCAGTAGCTAGAAGTTACTTTTAGACACTTCTTTTCAAACTTTTCACCCTTTATAAGGAAGCAAAAAGAAAATCTATCAGAGATCTCTACCTTCTGTAATTTATGAAAAGTTGAATAAATTGGGAAAGAAGATAAGTTCCCTTTTATCTCCACCTCTGACCCTTTTTTGTATCTTCCATGTCATCAAAGTTTTCCTCTCAAAATGGTCTTGATTCAAAGCCTATTGAAAACAATAGAATTCCACTTAAAATCCATTCCTATGTCTTGATTATTGCAATGTGACTTTCCAAGAGACAGTAAAAATTAATAAACAGCTTACCAAATTTCATCTTGTCATGGGAAATTATTCTATTCAAGAGTGGCTTTGGATCACAGATTAAGGCAGCAGCTAAGCAGAGGAAATAGGCTTATGCCATAGATTTTCTCTTAGGTTCACACTTCTTTGAAAAGCTCAAAATTTCCACTGTATTTCTACAGCACTTGCATGAATTATGTGTTTTCCATCAGTCTGGAGGGAGTACACATAGCACTATCTACTTCAGTCCCTTTCTCTCTTTGGAACTCTAAACCATCTTCTGCCTCCAAAAACAACCACTCATTCTCATGAAAGCTGAACTTAGCTAAAGAATATCACAATCGACATCAGTTTTTCCCATCTAAACAAGAAAGATAATAATCTTCATTGTTCTGTCACTGGTGGAAAAGGATGGAAACAATCTGATACAAAAAGAAAGGTTCTTCAGCATTTTATCAGGACACACTAGGAAAAGAAGAAAAAGTGCCAGAGATATGTTTCTAGGAAAGCACATATGGTTTACAAATTTTGGGCATCACAGAAAGGAGAGAGGGAAGGAAATAAAGGGAAAGAGTTGGCAAAATGAAGACAAAGAGGAACATGAAAGAGAGAAGAGCTCAGCAGTGTATTAGGGTAAGGCAATGAGATTTACTACTAGTAGTAAGGGGACAGATTGCCAGACAGAATGAAAGAATTGAACTTACTTGCAGGGCTGATTTTTTCCTTGCTTACACAGCTGCCAATGCACCACAGATTCGTAACTAGTGCACAATTTCTCCAAGGAATGCCTACAACATCCAGAGTTCTGATTTGAGTTTCACTGAACCTTGTGGGCCCTGAGAAAGAAATACAAGGGACATATAAATATAGAACACTGGAGTAGATGATACCTCTTAAACAGCACTCACTACCATTGCACTACCACTGGCATGCACTAAATTGTCCTTCTTGGATAAAACCTCCTACTCTGTAACTGATTCTTTGTTCTTACAAAAAACCCATTTGGATACCTGCAGACAAAGAGGCTCAAGTCCCAGGTCCCTGAGGAATTTTCCAAGGAATTTAGTATGATTTAAAGACACAAAAATGTACAGTGTTGATGCTCTCCTTAGGCATTTGCAAAGGTCTCTGCAGTGAGACACTTCCCACAGTAGCATTTAACTGCCTTCAGATTTAATGAGGTTGCTATTTTTCGTTAAAAAATTGTAGATTCCCGTGACATATTTTTGCAATAACTTAATCTTTCGTTAGTCATGGAGATCAAAGCATTTTTGACTGTACTAAATAAATCTTCAAGTATTTCCCAATGATAATGCCTCCTTATCTAACAGATTTTCCAGAAAGATTGCACTTAATGAAGGCAAAGGGGAACATAATCAATTACATGGCCAGTCCAAAAAGTGATAGCTTAATGTCATAGGAAGAGCCTTGATGGAAAATTAATACTTGCTTGTTAATTGATGCTCAAAGTGCTTCAGAGTCAGTTCTGTGGAGATCTTTTCTAACATGAGAAACTCCACCAGAGCTAGTGGGAAGAAAACCCTCAGAAATACACCTGAGTATCTCAGCACATCATAAAATACATTTGGTACACAAATGACACACAGCAGTGACACAGATGACAAACTTCCTTGGAGAAAACTATGATATGACACACAGCAGTGGCTCCTTCCATCCTGGCTGCACCTGTAGTTCAGATAAATCTGGTGTTCTTCTGTCAGTAGCAGCATGTATGAACTGGGCCAAGATAGGTACACGAAGATCCTTATGGGAGAAACATAGAAGCTGTTTCCTGAGTACACGAGCCAGATGCTCCAAGTCCTTCAAGGCTAGAGGAGCTAAGTCACTCCATGATGAGCACTATTCAACCAAAGTCCTTCAGGCAGTTCAGATGCTCTTCTAGGATCAGAGGCACTTCTCCTGAGTTTGGTTTAATCAGTTTTAGCATACTTATGATCTTCCATCACTGACATGAGCTGGTACTATCTCTTTGAGTGAATCACCAGGATGAGCCTGGATTGTTTGTGTGTGTGGGGAAAGAATGTGCTTGACTCTGCTGCCATCCATGCACAATCACCATGGGATTAGTTCCAGGCTGTACTGGCACCAGCTTCACTGCACACCAAAATAAAAAAGGGAGGAACATGAGGGCTAATGTATTCACAGGGAGACAAACTGCCAGTGTCTTAAACAGGAAAGGAAAATCCCTGAGAAAGGAAACTTTTTTTTTGTATAGCAATTCTAGTTCAGAAAAACTGATTCCTGATTTTTTACCTTCTATAAAATTAACCATGCTCTTCTGAGTGGGAGTTTGGTTTTTCTGATGAAGGATTTTTTAAAAATTTTGAAACTGTTTTTGTAAGTTGACTCAAGATTAGACTCAAGAAACCTTTGGGCAACACTGATGCCTACTGGACAGTAAAGACAAATTTGGGCACTATTAGTCAGGAAATATCTTCAGAAAGTCCTGAGTTGCCTTTAGTTGAGATTTTTTAAAACTTCAAAATACAGAAGATTTCAAAATGTGAATCAAGAAACACTACTGTATTTGTATGTTTGCTTTTCCTTTTGATGTCCACATTTCTTAAGATTCTTTGCCAGCACAGCTTAAAACTGAAGAGATTTTTGGTTGAAGGAATAAGATTAGAACTTAAAATATGAAACAAGTTCATTCTTCAAGGATCTAACTCCACTGCTCATGATGATCTTCTGAAGTCAGAACCACCCCTATAGAGCCTTAAGTGTGTCCACAGCTGGAAGATTTTTTATATTAAGCAGAGAAATGTAAGATTATTTTTATTAAACATTAGGAAAAAAGCATACCATAAGATTGAAAAATATTAATAAATACTGAAACAACTGCACCTTTTGAAGCCAAGTCCATTTTGGTTGGGTGTCCTTCATCCCTGTTAATTACTCAATACACACTGTTCTGTAACTACACCTTCTTTGTTCACCTGAGCTGTCTTTCTCCATCAAAGTTCAGATCACCCACAAGTAAGGGTCTCTTTGGTTTTGTATATCAACAGCTACCTTTCTACTTTTTGCCTTCTCACACCCTCTCTCCATTCAGTATCTCTCCTATTATTCCCTTTTCCTACATTAGATTTCGGAGATCACTTTGTCCTTGGAGGTTCCTAACCAGTCACCTGAGCTAATCATACTCATTTTCAAATAAAAATTTAGTTTTCTGTAGAGCAATGTAACCTATAGCACAGGTGGTTAATGCAAGTTTTAACATATGTCTTGGTTAATTTTCACACTCTCCAGAAGTGAATATGAATGCTGAAGGAAACATCTGAAAAAACCCTATTTTTCAAGTGGATTCAGTTTGGTTGAAATCAGCTATTTCTTTTTACCAAAATTACAAAACTACCTAGGTGATACTATTTTAAATCTAACAGTATGTTGAGGAAGATAACTAGTAACTTTTTTTGTTTCTTTGTTTCACTGCAAATATTATAGACAATAAGCAAGGGGTTTGCCTCATTTTTTTTTTCCTTCATCCAAACTTCCCTTTCTCTCTGAAAGTGTATATACTCTAATCTGCCATGGGAGAGAGACATTATGGGCTAAAAGAGGCTTGATTGTCAGACTCATAAAATGGTTCTCATGAAAGTCCAAGATGAAGACTGCTGAAATCCTTGGGCATTTTCCACTCAAACAGGCTTTGGATAAAGACCAGACTGACCATAATTAAACAGTTCCTATAAAAAAATACATTCCTGATGCTAACGTTAGCTGTGGTTAAACATATTAATTAAATATTAAATCTGCCCTTTGAGAATATTTTATATGACTGATGCAAAAAAAGTACTTGATCAAAAAAGAAATGCAAACATAAGAGCCACAAATTTAGCAACAGTTTTGAATTTTGCATAAGGAACCACAAACAGTCTAGAGACTGAATAATACAGACAAATCAAAGAAATGAGTAACCCTGTTTTTGAAAAGCAAAGTTATGTCAGACCTGAAATAGAAGACTGGGGAAAATATGGCTTTGTTTTAAGTCATATTTCTGTCCCAAGGCTCCCACACTGCCTATTCTGTTATGAAATGTGTATTCATCAGAGTGGGCTGATTTCAGAGGACATGCCTCTGTCTCTGGGCATTAATTTTCATGAATGTAATGGCATGTTAGCAGCCTAGAGTGGGAAACTCCTCAGTCTCTTGAAACAAGATATCAATTCACAGAGAATGTTCAAGAGATGAAGACATTTACAGGTCTTTGTTTCTCTCTTGTCTGGGCAGGCAAAAAAGTGCAAAGTCTACTTTACAATAATTCCAGGTTTTTCATTATTAGACAAACAGTACAGTTGAAAACACAGGGAGTTTTACCTACTAGAGTTGCTATTTTACCAAGTCTCTTCTCTCCCAAATGAATATGGACAATTACGTTAACCCCCTGGGCTGCCAAATAAGAACAAGCAGAAAGGAGATGATGGAAAAAAGCATGGCAAATGCCAAGGCTGTCATCTCTGCTCTGAGGAAACTGCAAGGCTCATAACATAAAGGTACAGTGAACACTTCTTAAGATAAAGTACTTACAGAATCTTGTAACTGCTTAGAAAAGCTTCCAGAAAGCACCTTCTTAGATACATCTGCATTTTTAAACAAATCCATTGAGCAAATTAGTTAGGTGAGGGGAGAACGACCATGAAGGCTGTATTTGGCAAAACCAACCTGTTCCTAAAATTACTCTACTGTTAGATAAAAGACAAAAGTATCAAGAGCCAAGAGCAGTAGTGAGAGGTAGGAGGCATATCCCACTTACAACACAAGGGACACAAGCCACAGACTCAGAGAAGTTTCTGAGAGGGCAGCAGGTGTGAAGTGGGGAGGATGTCAGACCTTTAAGACATGTGGTAAGTACCAAGTAGTCCTTCTTCATCCAGTATATTTCTTATGATACATTATTGTGTAAATATTTTAATGAGGTAATACTTCTCCCAAAACTGAAAAAGAAAGAGTGCAGAGGATGAAAGATTAGAGTCACACTGGCTGACAATGGAAGGATTGCTATGAGCTACAGAGGCAGCCTTGTCAGTCCATGCTTTAAGCAGCTCTTCCAATCACCAGTGTCACTATTTTATCTGTAAGTTATAGCAAACAAGTCTGTCTTCCAGTGGAAGAGCTGCTTCTGGGTTGTGGCACATAGAGAGTGCTGATGAAGGAAATGTAGGCTGTTACTAAAATAAAAGCACACTCCCTGAGAGGTATGTAGCAATCTCACACCTGACTGAGCACGGAAATGAAAGGCAGAGGAACAGGAAGTACAAATGGCTGTTTGCATAAATTCAAAGCCAAATTATATCATCGGTGGGAATGCATATCCAGTCCAAAGCACACCTGTGCAAGGCTCACCACAGGGTGTGCAGTCTGAGATGGACATTGCAATACAAAGGATCTGGCTACAGTCCTGCCTGGGAAGCAGAGAAGCAGTGCCTTAACATATGGAGCTATGGACCCGAGCCAGGACATGGACCATGTAACTGACCCCTGGTTATACAATTGATCAGTTAGACTTGTAAAAATATGTTCTCAGATGATGTTGGAGGAACAAACCAGCCATAAGTTAAAAATTGTGCAACTCTGTTTATATACTTCCATTATATATATATATATATATATATATATATATATATATATATATATGACATGGAAGCATATGAACAGAGTTTATGCAAGAAACCAGTGGTAGCAACAGTCTATGACTGAATGACTAATAGCATTTGAATTACAAATATTGATCTAAACAACCTGCTTTGCAGCTTCAAATAGCCACATAACAAGAGGAAAGTGTCCCCAAGCCAGCCAGTGACAAGGGACATTACAA